GATCCAACAGATGCATTCAGTATTCGAAGAGCCATTAGTCCCAATCCAAGGGATGTGTCGCAAAGTATCCATCCACACACAATGCTTCCGAAAAATCATGAAGTGTATCAAATATATAAGAGGTTCGACAATTTGACACAAATTTCAACCAATCAAAACCAAGCTCAAGTTGTGGATGCATATATTAAGAAACTGCTGGTTAATTTATACACAATTTTGGACCAATGAGAAATGAGCAACTCATTTTATCGATGCACACCGCAAGATTGCGCTTTTAAATTTTGCACAGATCTGGAACATTTCAGCATATGGCACAAAACTAAACCACCTATCAAATACCTGTAATTTAGTTCAATCAATTCGTATTCATGGCTGCGATATATTGAAACCAATTGTATCATAATGTCAATATTGCGCCGATATCTGTTAATTCAACTGTAGAATGATATTCAACTGCAAAAGATATGTCGAATGGAACCAAAAGGCAATCAATGGACGACTGCTTCCGAATAATCAAACTACAATTATGAATAGCGTCTATCCAATCTCTCCAAACTATTTCAGAGACGAAGAGCCATGCCACCAAGAAGAATGTCATCAGTCAAAACAATTAGCGAATCGGACAATCAAGGTACGCAACGATTAATGCAAATTTTTGCCTCTTCCCGATTTAACAGGATATCGAGACGCCTATCATTTCAGTTAACTGGTCGCTGAAGACACGACCCTCATTTGGGCCAAAAACAAGGACAAAGAAGGATGCGCCAGAATAGGCCCGTTGATCAAACAATTTTGGAATTCGGCAGAGATGATGGTTGACGGTACATTATCGACGACTGGATTGCGACTTATTGTGCAAGTCTGACCCGTTTGCTTAACTGCACCCCGAAAAAGATGCAAATGCACATAGTCCAAAACTTTTGTTCGCGTCCTAGCAAATAACTCAGACTCATAGACCAAAAATTTGTTGTAGCCGAGAATTCATAGAGAAGTTGTGAATTTATGAAAAAGCAGCAACGCTTTTAATTAGAATCTATAGCAAAAACACCCGTTCTGTACACACAAAACTCTTCCGCTGTTCAGTTATCTCCATGACGAACTCCAATTAGATTACGCCGGGCCATTATCAGATGGTTCAGAAAGTCAGGATTATATATTGCTAGCTACCGACTGGTTCTCCAAATATTCATCAGCTATGCTAACCAGGCCGACTGAAGCCGACGTCTAGTGAGGGATCTTTTGAGAGCGGATGACAGAAGAGAAACGTGTGACAGCAAATCACGAATCAAACTGTTGAGAAAAAGTTACCAGAGTATCCCACATATTTTGGGTAAGTCCCTGGAACAATTGTCAAATTCATGCAACAAGTTTATTGTCTGAAACAGTCCCGGGAACAACTGGCAAAGTAAACCAACAAGTGGATGGTCTGAAAAAACAACATGTCACATGAAGCGAGATGCCGAACCCTGCGTACACTAAGAGATCGGATCCAGTTTTTAGCAGCCTCAATCGGAAATCAACCTAAAGTCAGGAACGCCAAGGCTCGTTTCTGACACAGCGGAGCAAGCCACCTCAAAGTCAAAAAGTAAACTTGAGTCCCTACCTATATCTAATCCGTATTCGGTAGAAGTTTACAGAGAAGTGGCAACGGAAAATCGGGAAAAAAAATAACTAAAGGTTAATGGTACAAAAAAGTCAATTTTAAATCAGGAAAAGTCATTAGAAAGGACTAGAAATGTTAGTTCCATTCTTAACCCAGGGAAGCCCCGGAAGATTGCGCTCAAAGCAGCCACAACAAATACACCAGCTCAGACGTCCCCCGCAGCAATTCTAAAAGTGGACCTCATTAGATCATCTTCCAGCTATAGCGGGATAATCAAAACGCCAGTAGCAAACTAATCCCCAGTCACCCCATTTTTTTAAGAAAAATTAGCTCTTATCTCGACCAAAGTAAACATCAGTCGGGCCAAAAAACCCAGGAAGGTAACGAAGTTTTCACAACTGGCCAATTCCTAGTATCGTCGGAGGATGATATAGTGTTAAGGACCCAACAAAAATGTCTTTTGACTTTTTCTAAGTATACTCCGGACTCGAGTTCAACAAAGACGAAGCAACGCCACAAAAATTATACACCAGATCTAGCAGAAAACCAGGATTGGATAGAGTGTTCTTGGTCCAGTTCCTCAGGTCTTAGCAAGAAACAGAAATCTTTCTACGGAAAACAGAAAAACCACGTTGTGAAGGAAATTACGGAATCTCGCTGTCATGTTTTGCCACAGGGGCAACCATTCCCGTTTCTTGGTCGTCAACCAACTTTCTTCGTCGTCAAAGCTAAAGAGAACAGTTTTTGTGCTCAAGAGAATTAAAAAAAACGGACATATAGAACAGAAGAAAGAACAAATAACATGATTAATTGTATTTGGAAATAGTATTACTGACATTTTTCTTTTTCAAGAGCTAATCTATGAATTTTGTTTTTGGGTGAATTTTAATAGACAAGTTCGGAACCTGCCGACCGAATTAGTCTTTTGTTTTGAGTGTGAATATCACTCTCCATATTCTGATGAAAGAATGCAGACTAATTTTACTGAACATTGCGCATTGAAGCAGTTCAATCTCCTTTGTATCAGACTTTATTGGAGTCAGAGAGCGTACCAATTGACATTCTTCATGGCGCAGTCAGCAGGGGGGGTAACAGCGTTCTGGTCCATACCAACAACGGAATCTTTATTATCCACGGATTCGCAAATAGAACAGTTTTATTAGCGGTAAACCTAAGAGATTACCGCAACAATGACACTTTACTGAGCGATCCAGTAGAAGTTTTGACGACACACCACAACGACTAGAAAGAAAAGAAGTGGTCATTTAAGCCAATAACGACACGACAGATCGACCGAACTAGCTATGAACCTAGAGCAAATGAACGCTCATATCTACCAAAATCAAAATAGATGGTTAAAAAAATCAACCTTTAAAAGCTGTTAATTGTCGCTGTGCAAATCATGGATGTGGAAAATTGCAGGAAAATCAAATTCTCTTCTCTCGCCTTGAAAACGTTTTTAGCCAACTTTCACATATCTATCTAGTCAGTAGCAACTGCACTTTTATTTTTGTAACGAGAAAGTATACGGGTTTTTATCGTTTTAAAACAATTTTTATGGCCTCACAGATATGCCCAAAGAATTCCAGAAAGCAGTGGACATTGCGCTACAGAAAATCAAAAGCGTAATCTGTTTTCTAATTGATATAGTCATTGTATCAAAAAGATCGATAGAAGACCTTAATGAAATTGTTTAGATTGTTTTTATTAGGTTACACAGTTTTCCCTTCAACTTTCAAAATGTGATTTTTTTGTGATTCGTTTTTTACTGTTGGGTTTTTATATCGACGATTACAGTTACCAACCTAAAGTATCAGAAACACAAGCAGTCTTAGAGTTTCAGTTTCCTCGCACTTCAAAGCAACTCCGTTCTCAATTTCTCCTAGAGTTCTTCGCTAACCTTCAAATGATGTCGGAGTAATTCAGATATTTGTTGAAATTGAGCAAAAAAAGAAGTCCACTGGTGGATTGCAACAACAAAACGGCTTTGAAGAATCTCTCAACTTTATTTCTAACATCAAAAATGTGCATCACTATGACCGGAAAAGGAGGTCTAGAGTTTAATGCGATGCCAGCAATAGTGGCCTTGGAGCGGCAGTGGAACTGGAACTAACAGATTTCACTCGGGTCCCGGTTTTTTTTTCGCCGCTAGATTCTTGAACATCCAGAAAAAGAAAACTGCACCTTGAATTAGCAGTGCTAGCCATAGTATGGTCGTGCGAAAACATCCAATCTGAAATAATTGGGAGTAAACTCGAGGTCCATAACGACCACAATAGTATCAGCTATTCAGACAAACAGAGGCATGAAGTCCAGTCAATCACGTCCCATAAGATGAGCAAACAGATTAATCCCGTTCGACTTTTTTTACCCATATTTCCCAATACTGGATAAATTATCTCGGCATTCAAAGCCCTCAGCCCTCGACGTGTCAAAATATGTGTCAAGAAGACATATGGATCAAAGTTTTAAGGTAAAATTGAACTGCCATTAGTATAGTCTGCACAACCGGACTCGGCCACCAAATAAGCCATACCTACCGACCTAACCCATATAGCTGAAAAAACGCTTAAGCTCCTCGCATTTTTACTCAGAGTGGTTATTTTGGAGCGCTCTCTAAAATATCAAACTATTAAGAAAAAGATTCTG